TGACATGGCTGCTTCAACACTAACTGCGGTTACTGAAACCACGCCTTCTTTCTTTGCGTGAACATTTGGGCGGCATTATGCTAATATTTCCACATAGTGAGGTAGATATGTGGGGGCGTGTTAGAACGAGCCGTTTTAGGGGGGCGTGGCAGAGTCTTAACTTTGATAAAGAATATCTCTTTGGTTTTGAGACTTTAGTCTTTGCAACTTCAGGGATCTTATCTATCCACAATCAGCTTGTAACACTCCAAAGAAAAAGGAAAACTTGAAATCGCATCATATGACCCCTTTAATCAAGTTTAATTGTGAACTATCAAGTTAAATCATGCGGAAAAATAAAAAAATATTTAGTCAAAACCTATATCTATCTATAGCTCTCTTATATCTCTATTTTCTGGTCAAACATGAAAAATTAGTTTAAAGGGGTCATACGATGTTGCTAAAAATAACATTATTTGGTGTAATGAAATTTGTTTATGCTGTTTAAGGTTAAAAAAGCACATTATTTTCCACATATTGTACATTATTGTTTCTCCTCTATGAAAGGCGTCGATTTTTACAAAGCTCATCGGTCTGAAAAGCGAGGTGTGCTCTGATTGGCCGAATACCTCAAGCGTGTGATGGAAATGTTACGCCCCTTACCATATTGTGATGCCGTGTCCTGGCCTGAGTGACGAGACAAAAACATTAAAACCCATTATAATTAAACGAGGCATTTGTTGCATCCAGTGGGGACATAATTACGGATTATATGACTTATACTGTCTTTTTACGCATTGCATATCGTGCTGCGTAAAAATAAAACCATGTCTGCATTTGTGATCGAAGAAATGTTGCGTGTTGGGGAAAGTTACTTTTAAAAGTAATGCATTACAATATTGCGTTACTCCCTAAAAAAGTAACTAATTACTTGGTTACTTTTTTATGGAAAGTAATGCATTACATTACTTTTGCGTTACTTTCGCATTACTTTTTAAATATGAGCAGGGCTTGATTGTTTTTAATATAAGAAGTTCTATTTATAGCAAATGTAAAAGGCCTTTCACACCAAAAAGTGTAATGAATAAACCTCAGGCTGAAGGAAAAGTAAATTCACGTCTGTACAGTAGAACGCAGGAGAAGAAACACTCTTCAGCAATAAAAAAAACAATGAAGCACAAATGTTAGTTTATCTAAAGTCATTTTTGCTTATTAGTTTGGTTGAACTGGATCATCAAAGGTCAGCAGCAAAGACATTGGTTAATAAAATGGGATTAGATAAATTTGTGTTATTTAACATATTTAATTATTGCAGGTTTGCGTCATATTCTGAGTTTGCATTTCACTCTTTTAATTCATTTTGATGAATACTAAATTTGTTTTTTGTGAGTGTCTAGAACTACAGTAACATCATGTTCACACAGCGCACACAACTCCTCTGCACTTCAGATTTCTCCCAATATGGGGACAGGAGACTTGTCAGTCAATAAATGGGAAAACAAAGTAACTGGCGTTACTTTTTTGAAAAAGTAACTCAGATATTTTCTTGTAAATTAAAAAAGTAATGCGATACTTTACTAGTTACTTGAAAAAAGTAATCTGATTACGTAACTCGCGTTACTTGTAATGCGTTACCCCCAACACTGGAAATGACAAACAACAAGCGCTACTCTACACTGCTCAAAACTCGGGTTTGAATCATCAGTGGCAAATCCTTTAAATATGAAAACGTACTTACAGTCTGTGAGTCAGAACAGCCGGCATTGTAGTCCACTCTCCCAGGATCAGGAAACAGTCCTCCATAGGCTGAGGGTGAACCAACTCCAGGGTAAGGCTAAAAGCAGCCAAATGTATTAAACATCATAAACCCATCTTTTTAAGCAAGAACCAGACATGGGTGTCATGTAGGCTAAAAAAATGTTTAATGAGACTGAATTTGCATTTAACGTGATTACAATTTAATAAAAACGTTAGATAGTGATAATTATATAACGTTTCCTTTCCACGGTTATTCAAACAGCGAATAAATGATATATAGAAAGTGACATTATCACTAACATTGATCTATCGCGAGTTTAAGCACTCTCAAAAAAACAAAACTATCGTTATAATCACTGCAGCTGTATACACTGTGAAATGAATCTCTTACTTACATTGTACGTACATATAATGAGAGAATTCGCAAGAGTCCGGAATTCGAATGCGTGCGCTCTCAACAAAACTGATCTGTTTAAACGATGACTCATCTGAACGCCTCTGATTGGCCATTGCATTCCTAAGCTCAACAGAATTGTGTGTGATTGGTTCAAATGCGCAACACTGTAAAACGCCTAAAATGAAATACGGTGCAACATGAGGAGATCTTAATTTAATGCCGCAATCGACACTGTCTATTCATATTCACTTTGTTAGCAACAGACGTAATAGATTTAATTTATTTGTGCAGGGGCATTTTTGTCCAATTTAGTGCCATTTTTGCCCCAAGTCCCCATGGGCCAGGGGAAGGCCTTACACACGCTCCGCCTATGCAGTCCTCCATAAAATGCGCTGTACACATCTGAATATTTGGGTTGAACTGTTCTGGAATAGTGTTGTAAATACAACTTACCCACTGATTTCTAGTCGAGCTCAAACCGATGTGCACCGTTTTGCTACGGTTTCCGGTTTGAACGACATGTTTCCTGGAAACGGTGTGCAGCGGGGTTTGAGATGCGTTTTCTCTTGTTTGGTGGGTGTGTCAAAAATGTCAGCCCAATCAGCAGCAACATGTATATAAACCACGCGGTATTAAAGAGACAGCTCGCACAATGTAATTAACATCAAAATAAATTCACAAGAGCAAGTATATTGTTTGCACATGTTTATTTACATTAAAGGCAAAATAACTAAAATAATAAGAGCACAAGTATAGATCTGGAACTTCTATAAGTCTGTCTAAATATCACTTGCTATGTCTTCTATTGTGTGCTAAATACTGATTAATGTAACAAAAAAAAATTATACACATATTTATATATTTTGCTATTGTATTATGGAGTGACACTTTAATAAACTTTTCTATACCCCTCTGATTATATAATGGTAACTATTACAATATCATAGCACAGCAGTGATCAGCAATAATGATAAGCCTAATACTCACAATAAAAATAATAAGGTCATATAGATCATAACACAGTCTCGGAGGTAAGAAGTGGATTATCCTTCACCTGAAATGTTTGTCTTTTCATCCTGAAATGCGAGGCAAATGTTGGATCACAATAATTAGGAACCACAGTTTCCACAAATCCCTTCACTCAATTTGGATGTTCTCCTTTATCCTGGAGGGCAAAGGCAGTGACGTATTTTGCAGTATTAAACACGTATTTATACCGATTTCATCAGGCTCCGAAAATTCTTCAAAAAGAACACAAAGAATGGCCTTCTCAGCTGCCATAGTTGCAACTCTTGCGTCATCAGAACAGGGTGTTCAACGCACCACCGTTTCTGTTTAAAAAATGTTTTGCACCGTTTTTTTGGCGGGGCTGAACGCAGCCCTGGTGTGTTGAAATCAAGCTCCACCCTCTATTTTTAACATTTAATATAGCGTTTCACTCCAGAGGACAAGCGGTTTGGAATATACTGTTTCACTTGGAAATATGTAACAATGGTGAAGTAAAGTATGTCACAATTTCAGGTTCACACAGACTTTAATGCAACAAACATTCATTCTCAAATGAGAAACAGTTGTAGTCCTGCCTTACAGGTAAAAGAGCCAATCGCCTGCAGGATGGAGGCCCCACCTTTCATTTTTTAGAGCCAAACACCTATTTGTTTGTCAGATTTTATTTGATTCCTTATATAAAATGTTTTTGAAACATAATTTTGACAGTTGCGAAGAAACCTTTTACAGCAATTAACAAACAACAGCGATCCAATCAATTGCTGAAAGACAAAATCAAGTTCAACGACCTACATTTTTTCTTATTTGAGAAGCGGTTTCAGTCAGATATTCCTCACAATAGAAAAGTAAAGCCATTGCAATTTCCATTTCATGCCGACTTTAATATTTTGTAGATTTTAGCATGATTAAAATGCTGTAGCTAAGTCCAGGAGTGTCCAACTGTTTTGTAACACTTTACAGTAACGTTCCAACTACATTAGTTACCATGAACCAACAATGAAAAATACTTCTAAACTATTTATTAATCTTATTTATGTAAATTGTTTAACTTTTACTTATACAGTATTAAAATCAGAAGTTGTGTCTGGTAATATTAATAAATGGACCTAATATTAATCAACAATGAACAGTTAAATTTTTTTTAACAAAACAAAGATAAAAAATATAAATGTATTTCTCATTATTAATGTTATTTAATGCATTTTATTTAATATCTAATGGGACCTTCTCATAAAGAACTGTTAAAAAATTACAGATTGGTTCTGTATATCACTTATATATTAGTTACATAAACAAAAATGTTTGGTCTCTAATAGGAATGCAGTCCCATCCACCTTCTCTCTCTCTCTCTCTCAAAAGAAAAAAAAACTTTGTCTGGTTTGGACAGACAAGGTTTTGGAGCAAGATGAATCTTGCTTTGAAGTATAGTTTGTGAGATGTACTTTGAGTGGACTTCACAGAAGATTGTGACAGATATCTTTCTGTGCTGGATTAGATTTAGATCACTCTTCTGCTCATGGAAAGAAACCCACAGACAGAATAAATCAGCAGGCCAATCTTTTAGCAATAAAGATCTATTTACACTTACAGATTAATCTGTCTAGAAGAGGCTCATACATATGCTCAGAGCTCAACATCCGTTTGCACCACTGGAGTTTTCCCATTGTGCTTCTGTGTAAAACAGCAGCATATGGGAGTCGGGCAAAGCTTCATTGGATCCGATTTCAAGGATATACCATACCAGTGCTAGTGTTACCACATTTGTCTAGGCATCATAAAGGGATAGAAGAATGATTGTTCAGACCACAAGTTTTCCATGTGACACATGTGCATCATCTCATTTGTCCATTTCTGTCTATTCTTACACTCTTGAGTCAGGGGCTGTGGGACACCCCCAGCCCTGACCCACGAGGCCGCAGGTTAAGAGATCCATTCCTGGATGCTGTTTGGCAGGAGGCCCACCATCAATGTGCTCCTGTTTGACCTCCAGATCAAATGTGAGTCAAATAAATTTCACTCTTTTGGCTTTAACCTTGTAACATTGTTTCTTAATATAGAAATCAGTTGATTTTTAGCGTAGAGTATTAGTGTTTTGATTATTTGAAAAATTAAAATCATCTAGTGTTAACAAGCAGGGAAAAAAATAATTTTAAAGACTTGACATTTTTAGAGTCATTGAATTTAAACTGTTTATGTGAGTATTAATAAAGTTTTTTAAAACTATATAAACCAACATGAATATGAATAGCTCATTTCTGTAACTCTGCATTTTTTAAACTAGTTTTTTTTAGATGATTTGTCCTTTTTTATCTCGGACAATGTTAAATGTTATTGACCTAAATATCAGCTCTTTGAAACTAGCACTAATCTTTGCCCTGGTTGAAAATTACAGACATCCCTCTTCGCAAATGGTTTCTTTCAAGCACACGCCTGTCCACTTGGTCGACATAACTGATAAACCTGTTTGTTTCACGGGAACTGATGCTACATTCACCTAAACACACGCTACTCCTCTGTGTTTGCTCAGCTGAAGGTGTGAGAGTGGGAGGAGAGGTGAGATGGAGTCAGAGGAGACAGAAGGACGCACTTTAGTGCAAGTGATCAGTGAGAAGTACAGCCCGGAAAACTTCCCATACTGCCGTGGGCCAGGAGTCAGGTTAAGAGATCCATTCCTGGATGCTGTTTGGCAGGAGGCCCACCATCAATGTGCTCCTGTTTGACCTCCAGATCAAATGTGAGTCAAATAAATTTCACTCTTTTGGCTTTAACCTTGTAACATTGTTTCTTAATATAGAAATCAGTTGATTTTTAGCGTAGAGTATTAGTGTTTTGATTATTTGAAAAATTAAAATCATCTAGTGTTAACAAGCAGGGAAAAAAATAATTTTAAAGACTTGACATTTTTAGAGTCATTGAATTTAAACTGTTTATGTGAGTATTAATAAAGTTTTTTAAAACTATATAAACCAACATGAATATGAATAGCTCATTTCTGTAACTCTGCATTTTTTAAACTAGTTTTTTTTAGATGATTTGTCCTTTTTTATCTCGGACAATGTTAAATGTTATTGACCTAAATATCAGCTCTTTGAAACTAGCACTAATCTTTGCCCTGGTTGAAAATTACAGACATCCCTCTTCGCAAATGGTTTCTTTCAAGCACACGCCTGTCCACTTGGTCGACATAACTGATAAACCTGTTTGTTTCACGGGAACTGATGCTACATTCACCTAAACACACGCTACTCCTCTGTGTTTGCTCAGCTGAAGGTGTGAGAGTGGGAGGAGAGGTGAGATGGAGTCAGAGGAGACAGAAGGACGCACTTTAGTGCAAGTGATCAGTGAGAAGTACAGCCCGGAAAACTTCCCATACTGCCGTGGGCCAGGAGTTGGAGTGGTGATCCGGTCGAGTCCCCAGGGTTCACCTGTCAAAGGTCGGTTTTATTTTTGGCCGGAGGTGAAATGCTGAGCCTGCTAGTTAAAGAGGGTGTGTTAGATACAATCTGGATCCTGACACAGTGGTTATAGCCATTAAACATTGTTTTGCTGTGCCTGTTGAAGAGCACTGTTACGGGGCTGACGAGACGTGCGGATCCAAGTGCAAAGCTTTATTAATCGACATGATAGAGACAGGCAAGGGTCAGATAATGGCAACAGGTATGTAGAAGGCAAGACACAAGAATATATCCTAGGGCTAGCGTGGGTCTACGATCGGCGAACAGGATCAATAGGGCGAGACTAGAGGGAGAAGTCCAGGTACAAGGCACGGTCCAGGCAGGGGCAAACAGTATCAGAATAGGGCAAGACGAGAGGGGGAATCCAAGATACACAGGTGAAGAAAAGGACACGAGGAAACAGGCAAGGCAAGACTAAGCTAAGGCTAAGAAAAGTAAACAGGCTCCGTAGAGTAGCTATCGCTAAGAGAGTGATAAATGCTATACAATACTCGGCAGCTTGACGGGGATAAGAGTGAGTGTTATATAGGGAAGGTGTGATTGATGACAGCTGTTTGCAATCAGCAATCAGTACTGTGTGCAATCAACTGTGTGTGTAATCAGTGCAATGGATGATGGGAACTGTAGTCCGGGTGAAGTGCAACAGTGGTGTGGTGCAAGAGTCCATAGTAGTGGAAGGGTGACCTCTGGTGGTGAGCAGACGGAAGTTCATGGACCGGATTCGTGAATGAGCCCCCCCCAAGGAGCGGCTTCCAGACACTCCCAACACTATACGATCCAGGTGGGCGGTGGAGCGGAGGCGGAACAGGGGAAGGGATGGAGGGCCTGGTCCACGTGACCACCCCGGTGGAGCAGAAGACCACCAGACAGCAGACCACCACGGTGGAGCAGAAGACCACCAGAGCCAGACAGTAGACCACCACGGCGGAGCAGAGGACCACCACGGCAGAGCAGACGGAGCCGGGACCCATGGCAGAGACTGGGGCCTAGAGAAAACAGAGACAGACAACACAGGCAGTGCATTCCTGGTTTCAGGGACCAAGGCAGGGAACACAAGAAGCTCATCAAAGTTCTCTAGGGCAGTGACAGAGATAAAGGGATAGACACGGAATGCATTGTTATTCCCTGGGCTCGTGACAGGCAGGTTTAAGGGTTCAAAGAAGGGGTTTTGGGCTGTGACAGACAGACAGACAGTTTCAGGTGTGACATATAAGGCAGAGAGTTCAGAAACCGTTTCTTTGGCTGGGTTGAGACAGGGTAATAGTTCGCAAATAGTCTCTTTGGCCAGTTCAGGATGAGACAATAGTTCGTAAACGGCCTCCATAGCCGTGACAGGACAGACAGAGAGTTCACAGACGACCTCCTTGGCCGGAACAGAACAGGCTGAGAGTTCACAGACGGCCTCCTTGGCCGGAACGGAACAGGTAAAGAGTTCACAGACGGCCTCCATAGCCGTGACAGGACGGACAGGGAGTTCACAGACGGCCTCCTTGGCCGGAACAGAACAGGCAGAGAATTCACAGACGACCTCCTTGGCCGGAACAGAACAGGCAGAGAGTTCACAGACGGCCTCCATAGCCGTGACAGGACGGGCAGAGAGTTCCTAAGTGGGTACCACTGACACCTCTGGAGGTTCTGCAGCGAATGCCGCCACCTCTGGAGGTTCTACAGTAGGACCATCAGGAAATAGGGAGAGTTCATTTACGGTTCCCTCGACTATGACATGACAGGCTGCGAGTGTCTTGCTGGGTGCCACCACCATACAAGGAGTAGAAGCGAGCGCCGCCGCCTCAGGAGGTTCTGCAGCACACGCCGCCACCTCTGGAGAAGCTGCAGCAGGCGCCATCGCCTCTGGGGAAACAGCAGCGAACTCCACTACCTTGGGAGGTTCTGCAGCATCAGCCGCCACCTCTGGAAACATCATAGTAGGCGCCGCTGTTTCAAGAGTCTCAGTGGTGGTGTATGCAGCCCCTACACTCCATAAAGCAATCCCCATTATGGGAAGCGCTACAGACAGGGGAATAGGTTCAGGAACAGGAGGGCTAGAGTGAGTGGGTTTGGGAATACCGGCTGTGCAGGCAGCCACCAATGGTGGGTCATCTACGCTGGATGCCAGTCTGGGATACCGATGAGCAGTCCCTGAGGGTCTGGGTGCCACAGGCAGGAAGTGACAGGACTCGGAGTAAACAGATGTGATGTGACGTGACTCTGGATGATCAGCTGTGATGTGACCTGATTCATGAAGATCAACTATGACTTGATGTGACTCAGAAAGAGTAGATGTGACTTGACTTAACTCATGAGGATCAACTGTGACTTGACTTGACTTATGACGAGCAACTGTGACTTGACTTATGACGAACAGCCGTGACCTGACTTGCCTCATGAAGATCTGCTGTGACTTGACTCGACTCATGACAGTCAACTGTGACTTGACTCGATTCATGACGATCAACTGTGACTTGACTCGATTCATGACGATCAACTGTGACTTGACTTGACTCATGACGATCAACTATGACTTGACTTGACTCAGGAAGATCAATTGTGACTTGACTTGACTCAGGAAGATCAAGTGTGACTAGACTTGACTCAGGAAGATCAAGTGTGACTAGACTTGACTCGTGACGGTCAACTGTGACTTGACTTGCCTCATGAAGATCAGCTGTGGTTAGACTTGACTCATGACGATCAACTGTGACTTGATTCATGATGATCAACTGTGATTTGACTTGGTTCATGAAGGTCAGCTGTGACTCGACTTGGCTTATGACAATAAACTGTGACTTGACTTGGTTCATGAAGATAAGCTGTGACTTGACTTGCCTCATGACGATCAACTGTGACTTGACTTGACTCAGGATTGACAGCGCTGACATAACGGGGCGCTGTTGTGTCCGCCATTTTGCGATCAGGCTCCACTGTCGCCGCCATTTTGTGAGCGCGCTCCAGTGTGGCTGCCATGCGGTGTCGCGTTCCTTCACGTCACCCACCGTGAACGCTGAACCAACAGTCCACAAAACATGATCCAAAAAACTACTTAGTGACAAACGAGGACCCTCATGAATCACTCTTGATTTTAAAGGCTGGTTAAGGCCATCGCAGAAAAAGTCAATTAACATACAGTCTGGTAATTCTGAGCCATTAGCCAAAGCCAAATATTCCTCAATGTAACCCTCAAGTGATCGTGTGCCCTGCTTGAGAGCTAGTATTAGAATCGCTGTGTTCATACCTGGCCAATGTCCTCCGGTAAAGCCGCTGGATCCTTGAATGGCCGAGTATTCTGTTACGGGGCTGACGAGACGTGAGGCGTGCGGATCCAAGTGCAAAGCTTTATTAATAGACATGGTAGAGACAGGCAAGGGTCAGATAATGGCAACAGGTATGTAGAAGGCAAGACACAAGAATATATCCTAGGGCTTGCGTGGGTCTACGATCGGCGAACAGGATCAATAGGGCGAGACTAGAGGGAGAAGTCCAGGTACAAGGCACGGTCCAGGCAGGGGCAAACAGTATCAGAATAAGGCAAGACGAGAGGGGGAATCCGAGATACACAGGTGAAGAAAAGGACACGAGGAAACAGACAAGGCAAGACTAAGCTAAGGCTAAGAAAAGTAAACAGGCTCCGTAGAGTAGTTATCGCTAAGAGAGTGATAAATGCTATACAATACTCGGCAGCTTGACGGGGATAAGAGTGGGTGTTATATAGGTAAGGTGCGATTGATGACAGCTGTGTGCAATCAGTGCTGTGTGCAATCAACTGTGTGTGTGTAATCAGTGCAATGGATGATGGGAACTGTAGTTCGGGTGAAGTGCAACAGTGGTGTGGTGCAAGAGTCCATAGTAGTGGAAGGGTGACCTCTGGTGGCGAGCAGACGGAAGTTTATGGACCAGATTCGTGACAAGCACAATGTTATCATAATAGTAATATATTCTAGGGCTAAAATCTAAGGATTTCCCGAAGATATTAAGTGAAATGCTGTAAATAAATAACGTAAAAAAAAAAAACCTGTACCTGGGTGGTTGTAACAACTTCAAATTCTAATGAATTTTCATCTATACATTAATTAAAGGCAGTTTATGTCTCCCACTGTGTGTATAAGATCGTCTGAATCTGCCCAGCATTCTGGTTCTGGATGGTTGTGGAATCACGGAGGCCGGAGATGAGGAGGAGGTGGCCACTTTCTGTGCTCACGTGGTTGAGCTAGACCTCTCTCACAACCAGTTAAAAGACTGGGGAGAGGTGAGAAAAATGTGTTTGAGTCACAGGTTTTGTCTCACTGTATGTACATTTGTGTACGTAGCACAAAGAATGTCAGTAACACTTACTGTACAATTCAATAAAATTCAGTTTATTATCAGTGATTAATGCATTAGGTATTATAAACATAATATAAAGGTATTATAAAATGCTGTAAAAGTATTACTGCATTAAATCATGGTTAATATATAGAGCCGTATTAAGTTTTATCAGATTTCACTACTCTGATGTTGTTAGAAAATAAGTCTTAAAGGAATAGTTCACCCAAAAATGAAAATGTATTCACCCTCAGGTCATCCAAGATGTAGATGAGTTCGTTTCTTCGTCGGAACAAATTTAAATTACAAATGTAGCATTACATCACTTACTTACCATTGGATCCTCTACTACAGTGAACGTGTGCAGTCAAAATGAATGTCCACACAGCTGATAAAAACATCACAATAATCCACAAGTAATCCACATGACTTCAGAAAATCAATTAATGTCCATCAATAAATTTCTCAAAATCTGTTCTGATAAAGAAATAAGCTCATATACATCAGATGGCCTGAAGGTAAGTACATTTTCAGCTAATTTTCATTTTTGGGTACCATTTTTTGACAAAATTTCACAGACGAAATCCGGTCATTTCCATAGGAATCCGTGTGATATGGAATTTTGAATAAGAGACAGATTTTGCATGTGGCTCATCTCTTTTCACACAAATTTGTTGTTGATAAACAGAATGCTGTTTAATTTAATGTCTGGGCGAGCTTTTTTCCCAGCAATATTTGGCTAATTTTATGCATTTTTGTTCATGTAACTAATTTATAAATATACCTTTATTTTATTTTTTAAAAAAAAACTTTACTAAAGTGTTATTTTTACGCTTATGTTAGACTGTAACATTTAAAAATACAGTGAAATCGAGGTCTGCTACCTGACACAGGCTTGACAAGACAAACTGCTTGGGTTCGGTCAGTTTTTCATTCTTTTCTCTCTTTTTCTCTCCTCTCTGTAGATAAGCAAGATCCTGTATAACATCCCTAACCTAGACTTTCTCAATCTGAGTATGAATCCACTGAGAGGGTCGAGTCTAGAGCCTGGAGTTGCTGAAGCGTTCTCAGGCCTCCGCCGCCTCGTGCTCAATAACACGCATGTCACCTGGGACATGGTGCATGCACTCACACGAGAGATCCCTGAGTAAGTGTGTGTGTTTAGCATTGAAGTAGCCTTGGTCTGAACCATCTAATGTGTTTGTGAATGTGTTTTTATACATTATGATTTAGGTGTGCCGTTTCTCGTTAGTGCTGTCAAACGATTAATCACGATTAATCGTATCCCAAAAAGTTTTTATTTACATAATATATGTGTGTGTGCAGTGTATATTTATTATGTATACATAAATACACACCCATACAGTATATATTTTGAAAATATTTACATGTATTTATATTAATATAATTGATATTATATATAAATATATGTAATATATTAACATAACATATTTTTCATAAATACATGCATGTGTGTGTATATATACACAGTAAACACACATATATTACGTAAACAAAAACTTTTATTTTTGATGCGATTAATCACGATTAATTATTTAACAGCAATTCTCGGCATTGTAAAAATTATAGGAAAATATAAATCGAGACAATGTTTTGCCATGACTGACTTTAGTGATTTTGAATAAAATTACTTTTAAATTACACCAAACAGTGAAGCAGTTTTGTTAAAATATTTTATTGAGAAATTAAATCATATTAACAAATCAAATATTATGCCAAACTAACTGTTTTATATGTATTTTTAATCTATTTGAATGCATTTTCTATTCAAATGTAGATATTGTTTTAGCACTGTGCTGTGGCATACCACTAGTTGCGAAATGGGTAATTTTGTCACTAAAACTTTTCTTCTTTTTCTTGTGGTTGTATGTATGTAGGCTGGAGGAATTGTTTTTGTGTCTGAACGAGTATGAGAGCGTGAGTGTGTCATCTACGCTGTGCCTGTCCCTGCGCCTACTGCATATCACAGATAACCAGCTGCAGGATTGGGCGGAGGTGCGCAAGCTGGGCCTCATGTATCCAGGCCTGATGTCTCTTATCCTGGCAAACAACTCCCTCTCGTCTATCCACGAGCCTGAGGACTCCCTACAGAGACTTTTTCCCAACCTGCGCAGCATCAACCTACACAACTCAGGTGCTGGATTGCATGAACATCATCTCTGTAGAAAGAATATCATCACAGACACACACTCTTCTAAGTAGTTGCAGCATTAACCTTTACTATCTAGGTTAATTTACAATTTAAACAAAATTGAGAACATCACAAGCCAAAACTTAAGTGGTCCACCATGGTTCATGCACTGTACTCATTGTCTTCTTAAGTAAAACAATAGATTTATATGAGCAAGACCAAATTTGAAGCCGTTATTCATTAAAAATCTTCCCTTCCACTGTAGCTTTCTAATATTCTTCTTCTGTTATTCAGTAGGTCATCAGATTTCTGTGGTTTTGGGTTGTAAATATTTTTAAGTACCTATTCTAAATAATCATGTAGTATCAAAAGGTTAGTTCATCCAAAAATGAATTACTCACCCTCATATTTTTCCAAACCATTAGATAATTGTTCATATTGGAAACACAAATTATATTTTAAATGAAACCTGAGAGATTTCTGTCCCTCCATTTAAAGTACATTCCACTAAAACTATGATGCTTCAACTGTCAAAGTTTTGGTTGCATAGAGGGACAGAAGTTTCATTAATATGTTTTCATTTGTGTTTTGAAGATGAACCCAAGTCTAATAGGTTTGGAACGACGTGGGTGAGTAATTAAAAATTGACCGAATTTTATATTTATCCAGTTTCATGGATTATTAACAGAAATGTAGGTGTTGTGTTATTTAGGTTTAAATCGCTGGGAGGACATTGAGAAATTGAATTTCTTCCCAAAGCTTCAAGAAGTCAGACTGATGGGTATTCCTTTACTGCAGCCCTACACTGATCAGGAGAGACGTTGTCTTATGGTAGCACAGTAAGTAACCGTACACACTTTTGGAATTTGCCATTTTTGAGTATTGTTGGAAATGATTGCACAAATCAATGTAGCCACCAATATGGAATTGTGCATGTCCATGCATTCCATGTCTCTTTCTGTTTCTCTCCCTCTCACACACTTGTCCTTCTTCTGTATTTTGTAAGTTTGCCTCACGTGACTGTATTGAACGGCAGTGTTGTCACTGATGGAGAAAGAGAGGATGCAGAGCGCTTTTTCATCCGCTACCACCTGGACTGCCCTGAGGATGAGCTACCCCAAAGGTGACCCACCTGCACCCCTTACACCACCACACTCCATATACACAACTCTCTCAGTCTCTTTTTTGTTTCTTTAGAGAACTATGTACAGTACATCCCAGAAAATGACTGGTGTCTGTGTATTAAAATATCCTATTTAATCAACCTATCATATAAATTAAAAAAATATGCTTCTTTTTATTCCCTCATAACTGCAGACACGGGTCTTATTTGTTACCCATAACTAATGTTATCCTTTTCCCCAAAGTTACTAAAAGGCCGTCTTTTAATTATTTACAGTATATAAACATCCTTTAAGAAAGTTAATGTTTTTATTTATTTATTTTTGTTATCTTTTTGATATCCATAAAATAAAAAAAATATGCTTCTTTTTATTCCCTCATAACTGCAGACACGGGTCTTATTTGTTACCCATAACTAATGTTATCCTTTTTCCCAAAGTTACTAAAAGGCCGTCTTTTAATTATTTACAGTATATAAACATCCTTTAAGAAAGTTAATGTTTTTATTTATTTATTTTTGTTATCTTTTTGATATCCATAAAATAGGTCTATATAGAAACATATAGAGGGACCTTCAAATGGACCATTTTACAAAGGTTCAAAAGTCACAATAAATCAGAAGTAGCAACAAATCTTTTCCTTTGTGTTGTGAAATAAATTGAGGTAAGTGTATCATCAAAAAAAAAAAAAAAAGCAGGAGCGGGAGCTTGGATCTATGCATTGGCTGTTGATTGGATGGAGGCAGATCTAAATGCAAACTTGCACGTTATTGTAACAAAGGGGTGGGATTTAATCTGACAAAATTATTAGAGTCCAGCAAATGTCAGCAGACAGAATTCTGTTGTTTCAATGGAAGATCAAGTTAGAATATTTGGATTAAGAATTATGAGGTATAAAAGATGTAACAACATGCCAAAATTAGTTCAAAATAAGATCCATAATAGGCATTCAGAAAACAGATTCATTTTAATTTCATAATAACTATAATAAGCACTAGTTTCTTGATCATATACAATTAAATATTATCTAGTATTAAATTCTGAATAATTTACTGAACAAGCGTTATGCTGTAATTTAGGTTACATTCCCATACAGTTGTTCCACAGACATTAAAGGTTAGTTTAGTCCTTGCAGTTTTTTATTTGTCAGTATTGCTTTTCAGTATAATTTTCTATAGAACATTGTTAACTTTAGTTGAAACTAAATTTCGCAGCTATGTAATAAAATCTTAACGTTTCGAGAGCCCAGCCACCTCTTTCTGGTTTAGCACAAAAAGTGCCCCCGCTCTCTCTCTCTCTCTCTCTCTCTCTCTCTCTCTCTTTGGCCATGTTTTAAATGGTTCCATGGTGGCCATCCACACATTCCAACCTATTTTCCTTTCACTTCCTTTTCTTTAGTTTGGCATCTCCAGTTATCCAGGTGACGTTTAACTCTCCCATCCCTCATGTCTTCTGGCTTTCCCCCTTCCCTCATTGCTTCTGTTTTTTTTTTTGGGGGGGGGACTTTCAGGGGGATATTTTGGAGGGTCTTTGCAGGTCAAAGAAACGTAAAACGGATCACCCACGTTCTTAGCACACCCCATTCCACTTAACCTAGGAGAATGTGCAGAGGACTTTTTCAGTGACTGCGGCAAGCCCCAGCTTCCAGCAGGGTATTTGGGGAGGTACCTTTGGGAGACAATGTGTTCACTCTCTCCCTCCTCAAAGACGCCTTTGTACTGGAATACTCCAATCAGAAAATCGATACACATGGTGGCAGCTTTATTCGTTCTTCCCCTCCTTATATCCCCCTCTCCCTCCCTGTTCTTCTCTCCTGCCCTTTTTCATTTGCTTTGGGGGGATTGAGTTAGCTGGAGGATTTTTTCAAAATGGAATGACATCCCTGACTCAATCTCTCCTGTTTTTTCCGTTAAGCGATGGAGATGCTGTTGCCTTTGTTCTGGAATGGCTTTCAGACCTAGTGAATTGATTAAGTTGTAATGTAGAAATAGTGGCCTCAGTCTAAAGTACCAGATACTAAAAAGAGGTTCCCTTTCATGGGAACTTCGAACTGCGTCCTCTAGGGGTCGCTATGGGGAACGCCTCGTCGTGACTCGTATCTGAAGCATACATTGAAAAAACACCAACTCGTTGGCCGGCGACAGCCATGACGTCACTACCGGAGCGACTACAGTATAAATCGGTGCCGGGAGCTACACATCGTTCACTTCTTCGTCTGAAGCTTGCGTCCGCAGCATGGCAAGAAACCTAGAGGACGCAGTGTCTCGTTCCCTACTCAGGGAACCATGGTTACATAAGTAACCCGAGACGTTCCCTTTCATGGGAACTTCGAACTGCGTCCTCTAGGGGTCGCTAGGGGGAACGGTATACCCACGCCACCATGCTGAGGGGAGTGCAAGCCAGAACCATGGCGAGCACTAAGAACCAACTCTACCATATTGCTATGGGAGTTGCCCCTGGGACGTTTAGACGGCTGTCAGTGACGTTATTCCCTACGACCAAAGGCCTAGGCTACATACCCCAAAATACTTACCTGTTAGGGCCAGACTCCTGGGCCCGGGGTAGAGCTCAAGGCATGGAATCAGAAACAGATTCCTTTAAGGGAATACGACCAAGAGCCTAGAATCATACTAGTCTTGGTCTGTCACACAGGGGCTACCGCACGTTTGTCTTGTGGTGAAGGAACTGTCTCAACAGATCCTTAGTAGCAATACCCTGTTAAGTAGGTATCCAGAGGATACATAGGGGGAGTGGTGCCCAAGGCAGAACCGGGGTTTTAAACCACTCAAAAAGAGCACGAAGTCTTGCGCGTAGCTCTTACCATACAGGATTTTTAGAAAAGTGGGCAAAGCATAACGTGCGCACTTACCAGCTATGTGGATTTTAGAAAAGTGGGCAAAGCATAACGTGCACACTTACCACTTATGTGGATTTTAGAAAAGTGGGCAAAGCATAACGTGCACACTTACCACTTATGTGGATTTTAGAAAAGTGGGCAAAGCATAACGTGCACTACACTTGCATACCGTTCTAGGGGTACCAGAGACGTTTTTAACAACCTTTTAAAATAACCCTTTCTTAAACAGATGATAACATTGATAACATTGCCCCACACATGACGTGTAGGAAAAACTAAATACCATAGCATGAATACATAAAAACCACAAATTAAGAATTCATCGCACAGCAATCATTTGTTCCGAACGTCGAACGTGTTTCAAAAGACATGAGAAAGTTTTCATGACTGGGTGAATCATTCCTTAACAACTCGATTTTTCATTTATTTCTTCTTGTGCCCACCGGGACCACTTCTTCAGAGACTTTCTTTTCAACACCTAGGTAAACTAAAACCAGGTAACAATGCAAACCCTCATTTCTGACCTCCTCACTCCATCCACATCCTCTGTTTCTTTCTCTCTGTCTCTCTGAAGGGAAAGCCATTTTCCCAGAGGGAAGAGGTTGAGATGAAAGTTGGCATTGGAGGGTGAAAGGGCAGGTGTAGAAGTAGATGGTAAACTCTAGATATGGGTTAAGGTCCCCTCTTTGAACCTAGCCTGCTCTTTCCCCCACCCTTTGGGCGCAGATCAGAGCTTAGGCTATGTTACTGATTCTAAAAGACGACAAAGATCTGAGAAACAGAGAAAGAGATGGGCAGAAAGAAATTATGCCTCCCTGACCTCAAACACACCGTTGGACCGGGCTCTCTTTGAATGCATGAGACATAACTGGTGTAGAGACCCATTCAGCCTAATATATGAGACTCAAACTGTGGTAGCATGGTTAGAACCATTTGAGAGACTTTCAAAGTGATTTCACAGTAACCTTAGTTGCATTTACGGTTGCTTAGATTTAAACTTTAGGTATAAGTAGGCATGGGACTGTTATCTTTATAAAGCTGAGAAGATGTAGAGATTTGAGTGCTGGTTAGTGTAATTCAAACCTTTCACTGCTTGATTGCGCACAACGATTTTCTAGATCAGGCCTATGTATGTTGTTTAGCGTATACCTATGAATATCCTTCCAAAACTACTTTATGTGCACTAAAATAGCTTTTGTACTGTCCTATTAACAAAAAATGTTAAATATTTCAGCTTTAGTTTAATTGTACCAAGGGCAAGGCTGTGAGGTACACTTGTTATAGTGTATGTAGGAAAGAGGGAGGCCGTTAGATGAAGGAGCTCTATATATTTAACAGCCTTTGAGTAACTAAAACCTGAGCTGTGGCCATGGGCATGTTGATCCTCCCTTGGAGGAATAGGAAACACAGGAATGATAGCAGAGGGGAGGGATGCAAAGACATAGATGACAGAAGGAGAGTGTGAAGAAAATGAAAGGGGCTATTGGTCTTACTGTCTTTGAGTAACCATTGTTACCTTGTTGACATTTTGACAGTGAAAGACAACATGGGGCCTACAAGGATGTAAGAAGGCCAATGTATAGGAAAAATCTAAGTGCGTCACTCTTTACGGACAATGAGAAATTTAAGAAGATAAGTGGATTGTGTAACCAGGCTCTTTAGCATCCATCATGGTGGATGTCGATGCTAAAGATGTCAAGATAGAAGGATTCATAGACAACATATAGACAAGTTCCCATTAAAGCATTTAATGCATTTGCTGCAGTTTTAATTCATTTAATAGTATAGTGGTGAGTGGTGACTACATTGAGGTTGACTTGACTTGACAACTTGAGGTGCAAAACCTGGGTAATAACATTTTCTTCAATACAGACTTAAATGTATTTCAGTCTGAGAAATCAGTTCAAATTCCAAGTACTTTTTATTGTCACTCAGGACACCTAGCATCATAAAGAATGCAAGGTAGTGTCTTCAGCTATGTCTGAATTCATTTTAATTCACTCTTTCCATAGTATTAGGGCTGTTGTCAAGGGGGACAATGCAACCGACAACATTGTCCTGGGCCTGCTAATGTCCTCAATAGCATTGGGTCCCACCCATAAAATATATAGTGAATATTTTGGACACTAATGTACAGGTGCATCTCAATAAATTAGAATGTCGTGGAAAAGTTCATTTATTTCAGTAATTCAACTCAAATTGTGAAACTCGTGTATTAAATAAATTCAGTGCACACAGACTGAAGTAGTTTAAGTCGTTGGTTCTTTTAATTTTTATGATTTTGGCTCACATTTAACAAAAACCCACCAATTCACTATCTCAACAAATTAGAATATGGTGACATGCCAATCAGCTAATCAACTCAAAACACCTGCAAAGCTGTCCTGAGCCTTCAAAATGGTCTCTCAGTTTGGTTCACTAGGCTACACAATCATGGGGAAGACTGCTGATCTGACAGTTGTCCAGAAGACAATCATTGACACCCTTCACAAGGAGGGTAAGCCACAAACATTCATTGCCAAAGAAGCTGGCTATTCACAGAGTGCTGTATCCAAGCATGTTAACACAAAGTTGAGTGGAAGGAAAAAGTGTGAAAGAAAAAGATGCACAACCAAC